GCGCGCGTATTGAGCTTTTGAGCTGGAGGAGAGGTTGTTGAAGATTATGTTGCGGTGTTATAGTGTTTATCATTTTGGGGGTAAGGTAGTTATTGTCGCCAAACAAGGTCTTATTGAATTGGTTCAGGACGAGGGTTCATGAAAACGTGCTTTGGCTCTGCGTCTTGGCGCGATTTTCTCGGGGCATGGGGGTGGTGAATGTTCTTCAGGTTGATGCCCAACGCTCATGACATGGGGCCCCGACTCACTGCCATTCAGCCGTTCAGCCGTTCAGCATGCACGTGCACCAAGATGCTGAATTCGGAGTTGAAAACTTTATTTCCCAGAGTCATATTCAATAATAACATTTGTCGGGAGACGAGCAGACGAGCAGCGGGGAGCACGGAGCCGTGCTGGAGGCGAGCTGGGAAAAAAAAAAAAAAAAAATGAGGCTGTGGGTGGTGGTTTGGGAGTGAGGTCCGTTCTCAGGGTCTAGGGGAAAGCAGTGCAGAGACGGGCCAGTGTGCGTGTGCGTGTGTGCGTGTGTTGTGTTGCATGCCATCATGGCTCAGCGATCAAGACCGAGGCAAACGCGGGCGAACCAGACGGCGATGGACCCCAATGTCAAGCGCAAGCAACCCCCGCCGGTAGCGCTGCTTTGCTGTGGGCCGGCGACTGCTCGTTTTGGGCACAGAGTACCCGCATGCAGCCTACAACTGGCCCAAATCTCACCGCGTTTTGCGGCGCTTTGCATACCATGGCATAGAAACGGGTCAAACGGGAGCGCATCATCGAGGGCACGCCCGAGAGTGAGGCATTGCGGGGCGGTCTTCCAGACCTCTTGTTGCCCAATTTGCGAGTTTTGATCATTGGCATCAATCCAGGCGTCTGGTCAGCTGCTCGTGGCCACCATTATGCAGGTTAGAGCTTTGCAAGGGTCCTCGCCGGCGACGCGGGGTTGACTTCAAGCCTGTCCGCGTCCGCGCTCACTCGCGGCTATCCCCCGCATCCGCAGGTCCTGGAAACCACTTTTGGCCGTGCTTAAATCACTCGGGGCTTCTCCCAGCTGGCGTGGAGCTGGGCTGGCAAACTGACATGTCTTGTGGCCAATATGGGATTGGGTTTACCAACTCGGTTGCGCGCACGACTCGCGGGCAGATGGACCTGGACAAGTTGGTCTGCTCTACCCAAACATTGGTCGCGACATTTTGAAAAAAAACATTGGTCGCGGCATTTTGACCGCCGGCTTTCTTTTGACATGTGATGTTCACTTGTCCTACCATGCTCTCGGGCAACCGTGGTGCAGGTCGGAAATTGAGGACGGCGTGGCGCGTCTGAGGCAACTCATTCAAGAATATCAACCTGCCATTGCAGCGTTTAATGGGAAAGGTGAGCATGTTGTCGGGTGGGGCAAGCACTGGCTCGTGTTGCTCGGGCAGTTGTCCGCACTTTTTTCGTGTCGCTCGAGCAGGCAGTCACAATCACCTCGACCTTGGGCCGTACTGGCTTCTTTTTTGTCAGGCGTCAGCGAAATCTTTTTTAAGCGTCAGTTTTCGCGCAAGGTCACGACGCTCGGACTTCAGCAGGAGACCATTGGGGTAGGAACACGTCACGGCCGTGTACACGGGCCCTTTTCACCACGCGTGTCTTTTAACTTGACGGGATTGATTGGTGCAGGAAACGCGCCTTTATATCATGCCGTCGACCTCGCCGCGCGGCGCCACAAGACCCAGGTCAGCATTGGGCGACGGCCTGTTTGGCATAGCGTGGGCGGAGCTCATACAGGGTGGGCTGATGTGCGACGCAGGTGGCAAGACAAGCTGCCTTTCTTTCGGGAACTGGCAGCTCTGGCAAAACCAGCCATCAAAGCAGATGAGGGTGATTCTGTCGCATTGCCCGCACAACCCACCACAGTGACGGTCAAGGCTGAACCAACCGAGGCCTCCGAACCGGCCAAGCCAAAGTAGATCAACCGTGCTGAGCGCGCCCCTGCAAGGGGGTAAAGGCTGTGAATTGACTAATGTCTGTCATCTCGAGGCCTTGTCAAGACTCTCGTGGGTCTGTTCCCACTTGCTTTTCCAGCACGCCCCACATATCAGTTGAGTTGAGAGAAGCCTAGACCCAGGCTTGTGGCAGTGGCAGTGGCAGTGCCTGTGTCTGTAGCAGTGGCAGTGGCAGTGGCAGTGGCAGTGCTTGTGTCTGTAGCAGTGGCAGTGGCAGTGGCAGTGTCACCATAAGCTCGCCCCTAAGCTCTTCTCTCTTTTGTTTTGCACTTGTCCTTCTCGCGTTTTCCCTTGGTTCACTCGTTCCTCTGTCTCTCTGGTGCTGCAATTTGTTAGTCCCTCTTCTCTTTGAAAGTAATCAAATTTCCCCCAATCTCTGTTTCTCTCTCTGTTAATACTCAATTTTTCCCCACGAATTCTCTCCCTCTCTTTGCTCCTTTCTACATTTCTCTGAACCTCTCACGCGCTGACTCTCTCTCTTCGTTTCTCTTTTCACCACTTTTTTCGTTGTGTGTGTGATGACGTTGGCGGTTGTCGAGCGCGCGCTACTGACGACAACGACGAGGCAGCATCGACTCGTTGGCAAGCAAGGGACCCGGACGGCATTTATTCAACTCGGCAAACGTGTGTGTAGCCTTTGCACCTCATCGTCTGCCTCTTCCTCTTTGCTGAGCACGATGGCTAAGCCCACTGTTGTTTTCGTTCTCGGCCCGCCCGGTGCCGGCAAGGGCACGCAAAGTTCCAACATTGTCAAGGTGCGCGCCGGGACCACCTCTCTCTTCCCACCCTCCCTCTCGCTGTGCCCCAAAGGACTAGATGGTCGTCAGAGGGAAGACCAAAACATGCGGAGGGGGGGAGGGGGAGCAGGGATGACCAGGTTTTTGCTTTTGCTCCATGCCCTGATTCACCACTCCCCATGTTTCCTGATCCTTCTGCCCTATTTTCTTTTCGGAATGACCCACTAGAACTTCAACTTTACCCATCTCTCGGCTGGTGATTTGCTCCGCGCCGAGCGGTAAGACGGCACAAAAGGACAATCTGCGACAATCTTGGTGCTAGGGGTGCTAGATTACCATCGAGGCACCCTGTCCCGTGGAGACAGGGTGGCGCGGGGCCTCTCTGATGCATAGCGCTCGACCTCAACTCGATGGGTTGCATCATTGATCTTTTTTGGCCGCAGCAACACGGGCTCAGATTTGGCTGACCTCATCAACGGCTACATCAAGGAAGGCAAGATTGTGCCCGTCAAAATCACTTGTGGCTTGATTGAAAAGGTACGTCAACGCGCGCGCGCGCGCGCGTGTTCAATGGGCGGCACGTTGACATCAGATATTTTTCATCTTCTCATCCACCTGGCCATGACATCCGACCCCAGGCCATGCAAGAGGATCCCAACTCCAAGTTTTTGATTGATGGCTTTCCCCGCAACAAAGACAACCTGGATGGTGAGACCTCGTGAATGCCTCATCGTGTTTGTGCCGCGCACCCCTGATCCCTGGTTTGATGTTGGCTTCTGACAGGCTGGAACGAGGTGATGGCTGACAAGGTTGATGCACGTTTTGTTCTCTTCTTGGACTGCCCTGCCGAGGTCAGCGGGCGCCTCCTGCTTGTGTGGCCCGGGGCACTTGTACCATGCGCACACGCTTAGTGTCGCGTGCCGTCGTGAATACCCTTTTATGCTCATTTCGCCTCGTTTTCTCTTCTTGCTGTCAAAGGTGTCGACCGAGCGTTGCCTTTCTCGCGGTGCTGCCGGAGGTGGCCGCGTCGATGACAACCTTGAATCCCTCCAGAAGCGCCATGCCACATATGAGAATGAGACCAAGCGTACGTGGGCGCTTTTTAGCTTGCTCATCATCCCTTGAAACCACTCGACATTGAAAATAGGACAACTCTTTCTCGTATCATCATGCTCAGCTTTGGTGTGTTTGAACTTGCAGCCGTTCTGGATGAATTCCTGAAGCAGGGCATGCTGCGCAAGATTGATGCCACTCGCGATGTGGATGCAGTATGGACGGATGTGGATGCCCTCTTCCGTGAGGAGAACCTGGCCTAAGTCTGTTTCCGCATCAGATTTGTCTTTGTTCTGGCTCCACTTGAATTGATGCCGCGGTCCAATGTTCGTTGGCTTGTTTGTTGGCTTGTTTGTCGCCATGCTACATTTTCGATTGAAGATGACTCTACAGAACCCTTGGCATGGTCTAGTTCCAGCCGGGGGGTTGGTAGTTCACTCGATCCCATTGCAAAGCTATGTACTCTCTAGGATTAGGGCTTCTGGAATGGATTGGCGGCAATGCGCTCCTATTGCAGCCGCTTGTACCTGGCAAATGAGGCGCGACTGGTCACGGAGAGCGCCTCGTCCCACCAGTCACCGTAGTAGACGACGAGTGAGGCATTAATGTGATGAAAAAACTTGGTGTCTTTGGGCAAGTGATCAATGCAATAACGATAGAGTCGCACGAGGAACTCGGCGTCTTGAAAATGGAGAAGATCCTCGCGAGCTCGTGTCCAGTTCCAGGCAGAGCGCAGCACGATGGGGTGACCATGATGGACGCGCGTGCAGCTTGGTTCGGTACAGCCGGGCAGAATGAGACCGTTGTCGAGACTTACATCGGTGATGATGGTGGGAGGCTCGTTGATGATCCAGTTGACGGGGGTCAAAGGCTCATTTCGCGGGGTCACCAGGTAGTTGTGGGTCATGAAGACCATGTCATCACTCACAGAGTGCACAATGTGGTACAGCTTTCGAGGGTGCCAGGCGTCATCGTCGTCAGCCAAGACCACGTAGCGCCGGGTGGCGTGGTCTACGCCGGTGTTTCGGTTGGCACCGGCATAGAACCTGCCCTGGCGTAAGACTACCTCCAGTTTGGATGGGATGCGGCTAGCACGGAAGACATGCTTGAAACATTCATGAATCAGTTTGGCTTGTTCAGAGGTGCTCACACCGGCAATGACCAGGATGACTTCGGCAGGACAGTAGAGTTCTTGTCGTGTCAGGCTTTGGACAAAACGGTCGAGGGTTGTGGCGAGCCAGGCCTCGGTCAAGTCTGGCCTCTTGATGAAAGAGGGGACAATGACGGAGAAGTTTTCGGCCACCTCGGTGCAAATGGCGTGAGGCAACAAGGGGCATCCTCTGATGGAGGTTCGGGGCCTTGTCCAGCTGATGTTCAAGTCTCGCGAGAGCCTTTGCGCCGCTCTTCTTTGAGAGGACAGCATAAAGTTGGGCGGTGCTGTCGTGATGGCCACGGCAGGGTCGGAATGAAATCCGAAAGACACGACACAGGCGGGGAGAGCGTAAGCGGCAAATTTCAACACGTGCTGGTTTGCTCGAGCGCATCAAGCCGGCTCGCCAGGATGCATGGGAGATGTGGGGCGAGGCATAAAACCGCGGCAAACGTACATGTCATGAGATATGCACCGCCGAGGAGCAGCAGGAAAAGAGACATGCCAATCATCAGCCAACTGAGCTGGCCCCAGCGCCCTGCCACGGGGGCGCTTCCAGAGGCCATGTCGCAATGGTGGGGCGCCCGGGGTGATCCTGGCGATGGACACAAGTCAAGCCTCCGAAGCCAAACTCACCCGCCACACCGGTCACCCCCTCCCACCCCCGAGGCTTCACGGGCCAGTCCAAGCCGTTTGTTTCCCATGCATATCAGCCAAGCCGCGTTGACAGTCTGAAAGTGAATAGATTGCGGTCTCAGTCTCGAGTGTGCCGAAGAGAGAGAGAGAGAGAGAGAGAGTGTGTGTGTGTGTGTGTGTGCGGGAGAGAGAGAGAGAGCGGGGGGAGAGAGAGAGATCAATTGATGCACATGTAGGGGGACGGAGAGAGAGAGAGAGAGAGAGAGAGGGAATATGAGAGAGACTCAAGAGACACAGAGACTCAAGGGACGGAGAGACTCAGAGACAGAGACAGAGCGACAAAGAGACAGAGAGACAGAGACAGAGAGACAGAGAGAGAGACAGAGAGACAGAGAGACAGAGACAGAGAGAGAGACAAATGAATACAATTCAAAGCACAAAGACCAGAACAAATCAAGAGAGAGACAAGGATGCAGAGACTTTGAGGAAGAGACGAGGAAGGGATAGAGGTATAGATGGAGAGTGAGAAGAGGGCGAGGGCGAGGGAGAGGGAGAGGAAGACGGCGAGGGAGAGGGCGAGGGCGAGGGAGAGGAAGAGGAAGAGGAAGAGGAAGAGGAGGGAGGGGGGAGGGAGATAAGAGACGGAGAGATGGAGAGCGAAAAAGTAGACACAGACACATGCCTTGAACGAGGAAGGCATACGTTCGCAGTGATAAAAAAGTCATTTATTTTTTCCAAGTTTACATGTAATCTTTGAATTTTTTTTTTTTTTTTGGATGATGGCTCCGGGCGTGAGGAGGAGGATGAGGGGGATGGGGCTGTTGTTGGGGTCAATGTGCCTGGTTTTGGCTGGGCTGGCGGGGGTGGCTGGGCAAGGTGAGACGGGCGTCGAGCCTATGTTGTATGTGGATGGTGATGGCACTTTGCACATCAACAGCAGCAGCAGCCGTGATGGGGGCGTCGCGCGCGTGTTGATTGACGGGGTTGACGTTTTACAAGAGCTGGCCGAGCAGCGTCAGCTGATTGGCTCCTTTGAGAAGACGGTCAACACCCTGGCCGCCATGACGTTGGTGGTTCACTCGGGCGACGTCGGGTGTGACTTGGCAGTCCCGCCCGGTGTTACTCAGATTCAGGGCAACATCAAGCTCGTGGCGTGTACCGTGCTCACGGCCACCGATCTTATTTGGTCGCTAAGCCGCTTGACCTCGGTTACCGGTGACCTTATCATCCAGGTAGGCCTCTGGAAAAAGCAGATCCTTTTGGCCTCAGACTTCCTTTTGGCCTCAGAGCTACTGCTTGAGCTTTAACGGAATCGGCTGACGCTGCTGCCGCCGCCACCTTACTCATACAATCAACGCATTGCCTCGCTTCCCTGCACGCATCTGCAGAACACGTTGGGATTGACCAACCTGGACGCTTTCAGCCAGCTGACCAGCGTTGGAAAAGATCTCTTTCTTCGGGTATTGCACCTCTCGGCTTGATCCTGCCACCCCGCGCTGGTCTGTGTCCGAGTGCCAGGGACGGGCCCGTTCTCAAGGCTCCATCTGGAATCGTGCGTAGAGCAACGCGGACCTCAGTAATATCAATGGATTACGGGCGCTCAAGCTGATTTCAGGCAACCTGAACATTTTCGTACGATCACATTATTGTTATCCCTCAGTCCCGATGCGTTTGGCCGCGAGCGTGGACAAGAACGTGCACTCATGTCGTTGCCATTGTCGTCTCGTCTTCTCCAGAAAATTAATTTGCTGACCAACATTGATAGCCTCTCAAAACTGACTCGAGTTGAAGGCTTTATCCACATTGAGGTCCGGTCGTCTGCCAATTCGCATCAGGACATAGCCGAAGCATGTTCTGACTCTTTTTTTTTTTTTTTTTTCCCAATTTTCTATGGTCGTTGCCAACCCGATTCTTCAGAGCAACGCCAATATCGAGCACCTAGATGGCCTGTTCAACTGTACCACCAAACAGGGGTTAGCCGTATCTGTACGTATCGTGGACTTGTCAGCTGGTTCAAAAACCTCCCCTTGGCAATGGCGGGGTCATGCTGGCGCAGGGCAAGTGGAGCCCATGTGCTCATTTGTTTGGCTGACACATGGTTGATACAGGCGAACCTTGCCTTGACCAACATCGATGGCTTGAGCAGAATTACTACGTGTTTATATCTGCGGATCAATGTTTGTCAACACCCATGGCTGTACTTGCTGAATGGTTCATGGGAAGCAAAGGGCAAGGGTACGCAGCGGCATCTGAACAACGTAAGCTGATTTTTCTGCGTAGGACAATCCGTTGCTGACCAACCTGGATGGACTTTCCAACCTTTACAGCACGGGCAGCGTCACAATCCAGGTCTGTGTAGCAGAAAGCAATCGCGCTGATGGGGTGGGGGAGTTGATCAGGGCAAGGATTGACTCGAAGCTGGTTGAGACCCAAGGTTATTGATTGTTGTTTCTGATCTTGCTTTTCCCAATTAGAACAATGGGAGGCTGCTGAACGTTGACGGTCTGGCTCGGCTTGACTCTGTATCCTACTACGTGGTAGTTCGCGTACGCCATTCTTCGCGCTTATGGTGCATCTCTTATGAATCTGGTCATAAGCCAAGGGGTATCTTCTTGTGAGCATGTTGAAAGGCGCTCAACTTGATCTTCTCCTGCGAACAACCCTGTAGAACAACCCTCTGTTGGTCAACCTCATCGGCCTCAGCAACCTCAGGCACATTTCAACTAACCTCCGCATTCAGGTCAGGGATTTTTTGCCTTTGACCATGGGCCTGGCATGACCGCATCCTCATGGCTTTCTCGTATCTCAGACAAACGGCAATTTGACAAGCCTCGAGCTGCACAATCTCAACTATGTCGGAACCTATGTGGAAGTGTGTGAGAATCCTTTGCTAAATATGTCGGCAGCTGCTAGCTTGCTGGCCGGTCTCGGTAACGATTCAGAGTTGTGCCATATCATCACCAACCAGATCCCGTGCCCGTGCTGAAGTGACGAGGCAGCCAGGATAATGACTATTCTATTTCAGAACTAGTGGTAGAGGCGTGATGTGAAATGGCTGCCCTAGTCTTGGTGTGGCGTTTATTTTTGCTTGACAGAGGTTCCGTGCCATGAGGATCTCGCGACGTGCGTCACGTGCGAGTGTGAGAAAAGGTTTGAAACAGACACCGCGCGCCGGGTTCGCAGCCGGGTTGTGGTGCGTGTTTGTCATTCTTGCATCAATTCAATTCTGGGGCACGCGCGCGGGCAAAACGTGATGGGAGGATGTGAAGATCTGACATTTGGTACATTTTGTGTCATGGCCTTGGCAAGGCCCAGGACACTGCCGAGGTGGTTGGGTGTTGGGGGTGGATGGGAGACCCGGGGCGTGGTCATGTATATGGCTGGCTGTGACGGGAGGGCGGTTTGAAGCGCAGTTGGATCAGCCTGTCCGAATCTAGGGCTAATGCGAGGAAGTGTTACAAGAGGTAGCTGTCAGCAGGAGTTGCAAAGGAGTCTGCGAGAAGCGAGAAAGAGCAAGGATGGTGATGCTCAGGGCAGACCAACAAGACACGCACCCATCACACGGACGATCGATACACACACACACACACACACACACACACACACACACACACACACACACACACACACACACACACACACACAGACACACACACACACACTTTCCAGATGTCCAGTTGGGTGTCATGTCCCACCTGTAGGGTTTTGTTGGGGGATGGTTTTTCGTGAATTTGCAGCGTTACTTCGGCGCTTTCATGCTATAGATGCTCGGCAATCCGCTTCAACGCTCTCTTCCGCAATCCGCTCGCTAAACCTTACAGTTTCCTCGCTAACTGCTCCTTTCAGTTTCCGCTATCCGCCGCCTTGCTGTAAACGCTCCTTTGCGGTTTCTGCTGTACGCTCGCTAAATCGATCAACGCGTTTCCGCTTTATTATTGTGTGTGACTGTGAATGTCAGGACTTTCGTCAGAACTTGATGGCACGAGTGGTTTTATTTTATTTTTTTTTGCTTCTTTCAACTTTTTTTTTCAACAAATTTTTTATTTTATTTTTTTTTTGGAAGGAAAGGCGGGTGCTTGACGGAGCTCTGCCATTACAGGGGTCAGCAGTGACCGGCAGGGAGAGAGAGTCTGGCGACCGCAGAGCAGCGGCAGCAAAGAAGGTGAATACGGACGGGGATTAGGACACGGCGACTGCAGGCCTGAAAATCAAGGCTGGAGACCTGAGACCCCAAGACCCAGGAGCCAAGACCCAAGGGCTCGAGGCCGGCTCGGCGAGGGGGGGAGGTGTGTGCAAGGCTTGGGCGGAGATGATGCGGCGAGTTTGAGCACGGTCCGCGAGCTCGGACTGGCCTGGTTGCCTCGCCCGACTCCTTTTGGTCTCGCTGTTTTCCTCTCCTTCCTTTTGGTGGGGCGCAACCCAACGTTTGGGCGCAATGCGTCACGGCCCGGGCCGAGCAGGCCAGCGGTTAGCGCGGCTGCGGGCCGCGTTACATATTTACAGCTTGCCGCTCTTGCTCGTGTGCTGTCTTGGTGTCAGCGCGGAGACGTCAACGGTAATCAAGGTGTTCAATGCGCAATTCTCAATTTCTGCCCTGGAGCAATCCCTCACCAACCGCAATGCCTTTGAGACGTGGTCCAACGCCTGCGGACTACCTCCTTTGATTGTGCTCGATGGCAGTGCTGATAACAACGATGATGGATTCGACGCCGGTGACGACGATTTTGATACCGCTTCCAGCACTACCCCGCGTCCGACCTCCACCTCTACTCCCATCCCAGGCCTTGAGCATCCTCACCTGTGCCACTTGAAGCTTGCTGACACGTCTGGCCGGGTTGACCTCACCACAGAAACCCCCAACAAGACGCTGATCTACCCCTCCATCTCGGGTTACCTCAAGGCTGAACTCGACCCCTGCGCAAGTACGTTCCTTCCTTTCCGTCAATGCCCCCAGAGTTCTTGCGAGTCCTTGAGCCCACGACGTAGTTGCTGGTGCGCTTACGGTTTGGCTTCAACCTTGGCGGATGCTGTCCTGCTGTCGCAGAAGCCAATACCTCGTTTGTCTGTCTCGACCACAACCTCAATCTAACCCATCATGCCCGCTTGATGATGCGCCTCGTTCGGGCCATGAGCTGGCGCCATTTAATGCTTTTGAACGACAACACCTGCACCCTCTACAACCTCCCGGCAGCACTTCAATCTGCTCTGCTGGAAGCCGCCGAAGCACATGTGGGTCTCCCCAGCTGAACCCCCAAAGTATAAAAATGATCACCCCCGCGTCCTTTGACCCGATTCTCTCTTTTTTTTTTTTTTTTTTTTTTTTTTTTTTTTTTGACACCCACAATAGGACGTTTCCCTGATTGCCCATGAGACGGCTTACGAGGCATCCTGCAGCAACTTGCCCATTCGTGAACACCCAATTCATCTTTTCCTAGCCAGTGATGTTTACAGTTCGGCCGTGGCATTCGTGCGCTCGCTCAACTACCACAGCAACGATCCACGGTGCGTTGACTTTGCCTCACCCCATGACCTATCTTGATCCGAGTCGAGCTGCTTGCATTCCTCAACGGGTTACGCCTCTCACCTCATCTCACGCCCCAAACGCCATGCTTTGTGCGTAGCCTGGTTTACCTTTACCCGGAGGATATCAATCCTGTATCCTTTGAGACGCTGCTGACCGCCATGACTCCGTGGGACACGACGGGCGAGCTACGTGCCGTGGCCCGTGCACGAACCATCATCGTCACCAGCAAACTGCCTGGTGCGCCGCTCCGCCTACACAAATAGCGTCTTCTTCTTGCCGCATGACGCACTCAAGCAAGCTCAGCTCACCTCGCTTCGTCCCTGCTGGCGTTCACATGCCTATCAGAACTGTCCGAGGATCTGCCCGTCACCGCGCTGGCTGACTCCCTCCTCTCTTTTCTGTCGGGCCGGTGTCCAGAGCTACAGAATCAGCGCTCTGCATTTCAAATGAAGGATGCTGCTGGTAACCCCATGCTGACAGTCCAGGTGCCTCCCACCGCAGCGCTGCCACACTCTTCAACGACCCAGCGCCTACGCGCTCTCATCTCGGTACTTTACTTCGGGCGCCCAGTCGTTCTACGCCTCGTGCCGAGCGCTTCTGCTCTCAAGATGGCCCCACTCACTCGCAGCTCTTCTTGGCATGGGGCTAGGAACCGGGCGAAGTTGTATTTTACTCACTCACAGGCCAGCCGTCCTCGGACCTCATCCTCTTTCCAGCCGAGCCTGATTTGCTCCCAGCTTCGGAATACCCTTTGGTGCTTCGTATTCTCCACGTTGCTTCACGGTACGCCGGGCCGCATGCTCCCAGACTTTGAAACCAGGACCGTTGACAATCTTCTGACGCGATCTGAAGCTGCGCTGACCTGATCCTCGCGTCACGCTTGGTAGGATCGGACCTCCCTTGGAATACGGTGCTGCTGGGGCGGATGCCATGATTGTTGCAGCTTCTGGTACGTAGTTGTCATCAATGTTCTTCTCCACATACCACGCCTCCCCAATCGGACCGGACCGACGCTTACCCGAGTGTTCACTTTCTACATGTTTCACATCCGCGCGCGCTCCCAACAGAGTTTCTGGCAGGAATATTTCCAGACATCAAGATTGAGATTGTCCGTGCAGATGTGACGGGCCGAAACTGCAGCGTCATACTAAGTATCGCCGAGCAGCATGCCGTACATCTGGTTGCCGGCCCGGGCATGTCGGTCTGCGTCTTGCAAGCCATGAATGTCGGCCGCAGCTTGCCTTCGTTGCAATTTATTAGCCCCATCGGCACCAGCGCGGCCCTCTTCAACACCTCTGTCTACCCAAATTATCTCAGCCTCACCGCGTCCACACTCAAGCTCGGTGCCAACCTCTTCAACCTGGTTTCCGCACTTGGCAAGCCCGATTGTGTAACCCTTGTTCACGACTCTTTTCTCACCCCCAACGTGGACGTTACGGATCGTTTTCGTTCGCTGCTCAGCGCCGAAGGCCATGACGTGGCACTCGACCTTGTCTTTCCCGCCAGCGCCGATGAAGTGCTTGTCGACGAGCTGCTCCGTACCCTTTGGGCCAACGGCACAGGCGTCGTTGTCGTGAGTCTGTACGTCAAAGCGATTCCTGTTGCTTCGAACAGCCCTTTTTGAACACGTTCTTCCTCATCCGCAGATCTCGCTTCTGCTCCCCAATTGCAGTTATCCAACGCAGTCACAGTTGCTGTTCAATCGTGCCTACGATCTAGGCCTGCTTGACACCTCAATATTATGGGTCGCGTCCAGGTTTGCGCTTCCGACATCCGAGTGGGACGTCAACGTGCGCCGATCCTTGAGTGGACGCCTCATCTCCATGAACTTGGACACACCCGAGGGTACTTCTCCGTTTGCCGCTCCATTTGCATCTTTCCAGTCTAGCACGGATCACCGTCGATTTATGGCCCAGATTATCGACCACGCCTGGATCATCAATGTTGCTGAGATCGTCATGATTACAGCGGTGGCAGCTGAACGCGTCAAGCACACTCACCGGTTTGGACGTGATCTGAACGCGACGCGTGAGCGGCTGCGCGACTCTGTCTATGCCATCCTCGTCAACAACTCGATTCCGGGACTGTACTACGACCACCTGAATATCGATGCAGATGGCGAGCTTGGTGCAACAGAAACTGTCATCTTCGATGAGAACGGCGAGGTGGTGTCCATTGGAAATCCCGAGGGAGACGTCTTGGGCACCTGGTGGCCCCAAGCCCTTTCTTGCGCTGCCCCGCCCCTTCCTACTCCGCCAGTTGGCGCAGCGCTTTCCACCCCAGCTCCGGTTCAGGCTGTCTCCGACGAGCGAACGTTGATATTGGCCATCGTTCTTCCTCTGGTTCTGTTGGTCCTGCTTGTCCTGTGTCTAATGTTATTTTTTCAAAGGCGACATCGGCAGCGCGTGGATGTTGCCGCAGCCGTGGATCACTGGCAAACATATTGCCCAGAGCCATTGGTGGCCCCACCCATTCTTGCCCGGCGTGACGTTGTTTTAAAGTCTTCTCTTGGCGGTGGTCAGTTTGGGAAGGTTTCCTTGGGCACGCTCCGCCAGGGCCGCGTCATGAGCTGGTCCAAGTCTGCGCATGTTGAGGTCGTGTGCAAACAAGCCCGTGTCGGGGACTCTACGACGAGCACAGAGATGCGATTGCTGACTGAGGCAATTCTGCTCAATCAACTGCAAGACACGATCCACGTCGTCAAACTCATTGGCCTTGTTGTCGAGCAACCAGCACTCATCCTCGTGTTGGAGTACTGCTCCCTGGGGGACCTGGCCCACGTGCTGCGCTCTGCGGTGGAGGACAACCGCCAAACGTCGTTTGCAGTCAAGATGCGCATGGCCCAGGACATTGCTCGGGGCATGGCCAGCTTGACTCGATACTCCATCGTGCACAGCGACTTGAGCGCTCGCAACGTATTGGTTGATGAAAACTATCGGTGCAAGGTCTCCGACCTGGGCTTGGCCTACGTTGGCCCGGACATGCAAGACGTGGGGACCATCACCGCCATACGGTACGCAGCCCAATGCGCCTCGCAATCCCAAAGCCAAGCTGGAAGTGCCTTTCCAGAAAGCATGGCTCGACCTGTATACTCATCACTGCGCACCGCTTCTGACTCGTTATGACAGGTGGGCAGCACCAGAAGTGCTTGAAGGTTCCATCGGCCCACAAAGTGATGTCTGGTCGTTCGGTATCGTACTGTACGTTGCTGAGTCGTGTCAGCTTGACCAGGAAATTGTGGGGGAAGCAGCCGGATTGGCCCCGGGCCACATGTTGTGTCATTAGCCTCACAACATGGTGCCCTGACCGCCGTTTTGTTTTTGCTGCATCCCCACCTTTGTTCCTGGGCAAATTTAGGTATGAGATTATGACTGATGCGGCAGCACTTCCGTATGGAAGTCTCTCCAGCTCCGCTGTAGTGGTTGCCGTAAAGGCCGGGTACCGGATGCCGCGTCCTGTGCGCTGTCCCGTGCCTGTGTATGAGCTGATGGAGCAGTGCTGGAGCGAGTACCGCGCGCGACCCAGCTTTCTTCATCTTGCGGCCCAACTCTCTAGCTTCACCCCGCAGATGATGGGGAAACACGCCAGCACCCCATCGGAGCCGCCAATCCAAGAGCCCGTGGTCTCTTCGATTCCAGGCCAATATTCTCAGCTCAAACGCCCGGGCAGTGTGCCCGTCGCGCACGACGATGCCCACGTTCAAGGTCAAGGTCATGGTCATGGTCTTGGCCATGATCAGGGTCATGATCATAATCATGATGCCATGTCCCATGTCCTTGCGCGCAAATCCAAGCGCCGTAATCTTGATGAAGCCCCTCCCACCTATCTTACGTTGCTATAGGCCCATTGCCCCCAATGCCCGAGCTCATGTGTGCCAATTTTAGAGGTTTGTACTAGTCCAACGAGAACAGGAATGCAATGAATAAATGGTGTATGCCCCATCATGAACATTAATTTATTTATCAATCTAGATTCTGACTGCGACGAAATCACAAAATGAGAGAGAATCATGACGGGGCGGATGTTAAAATTCGTCTTGCAGCTCCAAAGCCCAAGCAATCTCAGCGTCCCAAGGTGATATGGCAGGCATCACGTTATGATATTGGACCACAGGCCAGCCCAAATCGGTAAAATCCTTCTCACAAAGATGCTTGGTGAGCTCTCGGACGTCCATTGGCAAAGTTTGCATAATATTATACGCTTCCACTAGGTCACGACGTCGACGCGAATGGTGGGCGTCAAACTGCTCCCGTGTCCCAAAGTACCGGTCTGTACCTCCGTAAAGCTGCCCACACCGTGCCGCACAACCGTGCGCATCTGCCCCACAGTCGGTCAGACACCAGGCGCAGAATCCACAGCCACACCTGCCACAAGACAGCGCAAAGCACCCATCAAAGTCGAAAAACGCTGTCTTGCAACGTGGGCAGGCCAGTGTCAGAATCTTCTCGACAATGTGCTTGCGAGCGTCCTCGGCCTGACGTTGTCGCTCGTCAAGCTGCGCACGCCTGACTGCTTCACGGGCGGCTTCCTCCCGCAGGCGCTGTTCAGCTTCTCTGTGCGCGGCCTGCTCCGTTTCCAAGCGACGCAAGTCGTCCAACAGCTTGATTGTTTCGCGCGAAACTTGTTGGGGCAGGTCAAAAAAATCAAAGTCCTTCGCCTTGCATTCAGGCACCGGACAAGGCACGGCCGAGCCCCGTGCGAGGCGATCATCGCGCGTGGCAATCTCACGGACGTGGTGATCAAAGCAAGTATTGCAGAGAAAGTGCTCTTTGGTGGAACACCATTCCGGGCGAGTTTGGGGGCAGCTCATCATCCAAACACACACAGCATTCCAAGGGGTTCCTTTGGGATGGTTTTCTCGCGCGCCGCCGTCTTGCAGGTGGCGGTTTCTGGTCGGGCTTGACGGGATGAAGGAATCGGCAGCGATGTTGCCGCCAATTGTTACAGCGATCGCCGTTCCGGCATTTGGGCGGTCTGTTCTTGGGGTGTAGCAGTTGGCAATCGAGATCCAAGCAAGCCACTTTCTTTGGGCAACGTTGCGGTGTACGAACTGAGCGAGTATAAGTATTGACCAAAGAAACGAGCGTCGCCAGACAAAACACATTGAAGACCATCTTGAAGTGACAGTAGGCCAAAGCACCAAGCGCGATCAGACTGAAAAAAACAGCAGCGCGGAGTGCGTAGTGGCGGGCTTTGTGATCAGGGGCCGGGGCCCTCAGACAGGAAAAATGAATCAGCTCAAAGCAGCTCTTGGCCAACGCAAACGTCAATTCTCCCAATTTGAGCAAACACCAAGCACAAGCGGCCAAGCCATTGTCCAAGCAGGCTTTGCAAAAAGCAGCGCCAGATCCTGGAGTGTTGCCAGAAAACGAGAAGAAACAGCGAAGACTGCACGGATGCAGCTCTTGAAAACCGAGGCCAACCTGCCGCGCATCGCCAGGCCCACAACCCCCAATACTAGCCAGACGACCAGCATGTTGAGATCGATCATCAACCACATGTAGATGGAAAAAGTGAGAACGGACTCACTGCGAACCCATTCTTTTGAAAGCACATGAGCAAAATGAAGCGAAGAGAACAAAAGCAAAAGTTAGAAGCTATTCAACTTTTGAGCTGATGATGAGGAGACGATTTTTTTTTTTTTTTGGCGGTTCGTTTGAATTGGCATGGTGTGGTGTGCGAAAGAAGCAAACATTGGACAGAAAAGGCGATGAATCACGAGGTAAGGTCAACCACATCGGCAGGTGGGGCATACTGCAGCTTCAACGGCGCTGTGAACATGACTGATCGGATATCACCGGTATTCCATTTCCAACGCCAAAGCAATATCAGCATCCCAGCGTGGGTCTACAGGCGGTGGACGGGCACGCATTGGTCGAGCAGGTAAGTGGCGCTCTCTTTCTCCTTGTCTCACGTAGTCAGGAATTCCGCCCATAGGATCTGCAACGACTAATGGTGGACGATTTCGTGCGCGCAGAACTGGTCGATGTAGTACATCTACATCCATGAATGGAGCCGGTGGATTCCTTCCGATGGGCCCTACAATAACCTCAGGCCCTCTTGGAACCAAGCCGTAAGCCCCTTGACGAGCTGCCTGCCGCCTTTCCGGGACAAAAGCGGCGGCTTGCAGTGGTTGGGCCTGGGCCTTTGCTTTGTCGACGTGATCCTCTTGACGGACCGGGCGCCAGCCCATATCAATAAAATCCTTCTCACAAAGATGCTTGGTGAGCCTTTTGACTTTTTGGGGCAAAGTCCGCAAATAAGCTTTGACTAAGTCTTGACGTCGACGCGAATGGTGGGCGTCAAACTGCTCCCGTGTCCCAAAGTACCGGTCTGTACCTCCGTAAAGCTGCCCACACCGTGCCGCACAACCGTGCGCATCTGCCCCACAGTCGGTCAGACACCAGGCGCAGAATCCACAGCCACACCTGCCACAAGACAGCGCAAAGCACCCATCAAAGTCGAAAAACGCTGTCTTGCAACGTGGGCAGGCCAGTGTCAGAATCTTCTCGACAATGTGCTTGCGAGCGTCCTCGGCCTGACGTTGTCGCTCGTCAAGCTGCGCACGCCTGACTGCTTCACGGGCGGCTTCCTCCCGCAGGCGCTGTTCAGCTTCTCTGTGCGCGGCCTGCTCCGTTTCCAAGCGACGCAAGTCGTCCAACAGCTTGATTGTTTCGCGCGAAACTTGTTGGGGCAGGTCAAAAAAATCAAAGTCCTTCGCCTTGCATTCAGGCACCGGACAAGGCACGGCCGAGCCCCGTGCGAGGCGATCATCGCGCGTGGCAATCTCACGGACGTGGTGATCAAAGCAAGTATTGCAGAGAAAGTGCTCTTTGGTGGAACACCATTCCGGGCGAGTTTGGGGGCAGCTCATCATCCAAACACACACAGCATTCCAAGGGGTTCCTTTGGGATGGTTTTCTCGCGCGCCGCCGTCTTGCAGGTGGCGGTTTCTGGTCGGGCTTGACGGGATGAAGGAATCGGCAGCGATGTTGCCGCCAATTGTTACAGCGATCGCCGTTCCGGCATTTGGGCGGTCTGTTCTTGGGGTGTAGCAGTTGGCAATCGAGATCCAAGCAAGCCACTTTCTTTGGGCATTGCGCGCAGCGATCGGGTGGGTGTGTCAGCGCACACAAGAATTCGCGGCAACGAGCTTTCCGTGGACAGTGCTTATTTTTTGGAGCATGACTCTCGCATGACTTGGAGCTTCGACCTTGATGGTAAGTTTCATGAGCGGGGTCTTTCGGGCTTGCCCTCTGTCGTGGATGCAGATCCCTGCACGCTTCGACATGGCAGTGCTTGCCCCGCTTGCAGATAGGTGGGCGCTCAGCCGGATGCCAAAGCTTACACCCGACATTGTAGCAGTCCTTGGCGTATCGGCAGCGCTGGCCATGGGTTGAGCGCGTGCCAACTTGGGCCATGTCGCCGATCTCCTCCAAACCTGAAAAGTACATTTCGCATGCGCGCGCACCAGTGGCCGCGATCGATTACAAGCAGAGGTTAATGGTTTGACTTCGTTACCAAAAGAACAATGTCGGAGTTTTTTGATTAATTTCATGAGAGCCAGGTCGTTGGAGCCATTGAGTTTTCGTCGTTATTCTGGTAAAAAGGTGCAACAAGTGCTCAGTTACTTACATCCGGATCGATGTTAGTTTTTTTTAGACGATCTATTTGTCTACTTTTAGACGATGGAGAAAGAAAGTTGTCAACGCAGCGGAGGGACGCAGCCTGTTCTTATGCCCCACAAGTGGGGCATGTTGTGGCTTCGAACACCTGGCAACTGCCGACGTCTCGAAGTCGTTCCTCTACAATGGAAAGGTTTAAATAGGGATTGTTGCAAATGCGGATATAGTGTCCAACGGAGCTCAAAGAGCTCAGGCCGTCAAGATCGGTCAATAGTGGGTGTTGCTGGAAGGAGAGCATCACACGTCATGAATGAGTGGCAGCGCGAAGAGTTGCTAGAGTGCATACGGGTCGTTTGCAAAGGGCACACGGGTCGTTCACGATCCGAGCCAAGCTGGCATTACGCACGGCGATGTACAGGTACGTGTCAATGGCAGTCAGCGCGCCAAAGCCTGCAACAGATGTGAGGGCTGCATTGTTCTACAAAAACATCGGGGAAGCAAGGTGGCTCGTGAGTGGCATCAGAGAAAAGAAACGAGGAGAATGAGCCACAAGAACAAGACAGACGTAAATCGACAAAGCGTCGCCAATGGATTCCAGGGCTTGCCAGCCATCCACCGTCATCAGCTTGGCGTTGTTCTAGGTGGGCAGGAGCGTTGAGATGCAAAAGCAAGACAGTAAAAGATTGATGAGCCTGATGAGCGCAGCTCAAAGAGCAAGAGGCGCACGATAGCACAACGGTAGGGGTAGGGGTTGGGGGTGGGGAAGGCGGGGTGCGACAGGGTTTCAGCGGTGTAGTTTGATCACTGGAGCTGCAAGACTCACGTATACGGATAGCGAACCGTTGATGATGGTCAAGTTCCCAAATCCATTGAGACTTGCTAACCTTTCATTATCCTATGAATCCCGTTGGCCGCATCAAGACGTCGCTGCAAACTCAACGGACATGCGAGAAACTGGGCCCGGGCTAAATCGGGTTGACTGACGCACATGGATAGAGCAAACGCCGGTGATCGAGCCTAGACGGGTCATCTCAATGCTAGAAAGCATCGGGTTGGACTAAACATGGTAAAACCCGGCCTGAGAGTGTTTCCCATACTGTCGCGTAGACACACACCTCAATGAGGACGTCCCCACCAATCTGATCAAGGTGATTCAACCCATCAACGTTCGTCAAGTTGACGTTGCTCTGAAGATCATGGCAAATTCAAGGGGCCACTGAAATGAGATGCGCTGACTTGAGACGCAGGTGCTCGGAGCACATGTCGGCCAGGAAAAAAAAAAAAAAAAAAAAAAAAAAAAAAAAAAAGCAACCCGCGCTGCGAACCCTTCAACTGGCTCAGGGCACAGGTCATGTACTGGCTCGCAGTGACAGAGCATGAAAAAAACAAACCGACCGAAATCATCAGAAATTCGCCGAGCACGCTCAGACTACGCAGGCCATCGAGGTTGACAAGCTCGGAATTTCTCTGTCGGCAGCGCCACCGAGTCGCCAGCAGAAAGGCACGCCTGAGACAAGATGTTTTGCAAAGAAGAACATTGCATTAGCGAAACGCCTCACCTCAACCGCGAGATAACCCCCGATCATGGTGAGCTTGCTCAAGGCGGTGATGTTTGCGAAAAACCGGTTGTCCTGTAGCCGTAAAAACGATGGAGAGCTGCGCGTGAGTGACGACCTCGGCGAGAAGCTCAGGAGAACAAGAAGACAGAAATGACACAGGCCTCTCTTTGCTAGCCCCACGCGCATCCACAAGGCCTGCAGAGCAGATGGTTCATTTTTCGATCGCACCGCAATTTCGACATTCCCCGAGACATGGACGAGATTCTTCAAGTTTGGCAGATGGGCCGCGGCCGTGGCATTGCAGTCATGCAGTTCAAGGCTGCCCACAACGTGTGTGACGGCAGGGTTCACCTCGTCAAGATTGCACCCAACATCCCCATTGTGGATCAACGGCGCCGGCGGTATGGGTGGCAGGGTGGATGGCGCCGAGGTGGTGTGCGCTTGCCGCTCGCAAGCCGCTCGCAACGATTCCAGCTCCTGCAAAACATCCACGCCGTTCAAAATGATACGCGATCCGCCCAGGTTCGAGCTGGTGATGTGCAAGTGTCCCTCCGCATCCACCTCAATCGTAGCCTCATCCGTACTCGTCACCGTGCCTGCAAGGACCACCACCACCGCCATTCCAAACACCGCCCAGAGTGACCTCATCGCAAAGAGAGAGAAGAGCGAAGAGAAAGAAAGAAAAAGAGAGAGAGAGAGAGAGAGAGAGAGAGAGAGAGAGAGAGAGAGAGAGAGAGAGAGAGAGAGAGAGAGAGAGAGAGAGAGAGAGAGAGCTCTGTGTGCGAGAGCTCTGTGTGAGAGAGAGTATGAGAGAAAGAGAGAGAGAGAGA